TGTTCTGTGACTGTATTGATATTTAAACTATTTTGTAAGGATATTCAATCTAATTATGGTATTAACAAAATCTAGCAATCTTCAAAAAAACTTCCCGCTCGCAAATCTACCTAAGCTTAGCCTCTTAACCTACCAAAGTCAAAAGATAATACTTTACTTATTTATTGAATACAGTTTGGTGGTTATGACAAAATAGAAAAGCTAAAAAGTACTTAGTACGCTAAAACTAAATAGATACCTTTCATGAACATAATAATAAGATAAAAAGGCCAAGAATTCCAAAAAAAGGGGAAAAAGCAAAGATTAGGAAAACTCAAGGTTTAAAATAAAATAACTGTTTACCCTAGAATTTGAATGAGCTATCCTTAATTTTCCGGCTGAAAATTGTATCACACACTGCTCTGGCGGTGGTCGGGGGGCCCTTTATATAGGGTTTAAAAGGGGGGAAAAAGGGTATCTGCGCTGAGAAAAAAAAGGGAGGGGAGGCCTGGTTTGTATGAGCAATTAGGGCCTTCTAGAAAAGGGGGGTAAAAAGGGTATAGATAAAAAGGGAGGGGAGGCCTAGTTCGTAGGAGCAATTAGGGTCTTCTAGAAAAAGGGGGGGAAAAAAGGGTATAGAGCGAAAGGGAGGGGAGGCCTAATTCGTAGGGATAATTAGGGCCTTATGGCCTAGTTCGTAGGGACAATTAAGGCCTACTAGAAAGGAGGGGTAGAAAAGGGTATTGACAAAAAGGGAGGAGGGGGAAGACTTGGCTTACAATTTAAACAAGTAATTAGGGTAATCAACGTTAATACATCAGATATGATTACAACATAATTATAGATTGAACTAGCAAAATTAGTTCTAAGTGAGCTGATTTTGATAAATCAGATGTTGATTGGGCTTGTGATTTCATTCCTCTGACAGGTGCACGCCTTCATCTATACTGGTTTCACTTCCGCTATCGCTTGTATTCTCATCCTCAAAGTCCAGGAAGAGAGGCTGGAATAAAAGAACAGATGAGATAAAATTAGAAATATATGTCTATCCATATAGGTATATAGGCGTAGACATATACAACTGTTGATAGATGTTTCTTTTTTTCTACTAAAAAATGTCCCTCATGTTAGGTTTAGCTTCTGTTTTGGTTCATTTAACTAATGCAACGTGTTTATTAGGACCTTTCCAGCCAACCAAAAATGGAGGGATGGCTCCTGTATTGACAAAAGAATCAGAAAAGGTTCAGACAAGAATGGGTACCATTTCAGTAGAAAACCCGAAAGGTTAGTAGCTCCACACTGTAAACTCAATTGAGCCCTTTAATAGTATTATTGAGGAATTGATATTATCTCAAGTCTCAGCTTAGATCTGGAAACAAATAGAATGCCATTTTAGTTACTAAACCGTTTGGGAGCAAGCCAAGGTAGCATGCTTTCCAGTTTCATCATGAAGGATTGAAGAGCTTGGCTCTTTTTTTTTATTACTAGACTATTGTGGTTCACATTGATATCACATTTTTGGACAGAAATTTTCTCTGAAGGTTTAAGTCGCTTATATCATATATTGTCCCCAGCTTTAGGGAAGGACAAATGTTTCGCATTCCTCACTGTGCAAATGAAGTGTATGAAGCACCCCTGATTTGCCAGTATTTACCCCTGAACTATCTTGTATGTTTCCAAGGAAAATCTGAGGCTGCAGAACCAGTTTCTTCCGTCGTGTACTTTATATACTGCTCATGCGCGGTATTCCAAGAATTTTCATAATAGTTTACCGGCATTATTTGCGGAGGAATGATGTATTCTCTGTAATTATATATATTAGATTTATCATGAAAGTGTCAGAAGGATGAATGTGGTAAATATATGATTATTAATATTTATTGGATTGTATTGTTCTTGTTTTTATATATTTATCCTCATATTTATTCGAATATCTTCATACTACAGTTTTTTAATGCCTAGCTAATGTATGATTATGATTTGATTGGTTGATGATTATGATTTATTATCTATGTTATCTAAAGCTTTTTCTGTAGTCTAAAGCTCGTTTATTGTCAGATTGAAATTCCAAGCCTTAATAAAACTTGAAAACTATCCTGATTGTTCATTTTGGAGAGATCTAAGAGTAGAGGAGCTTACTGTCAGGCCTGATGAAACACTACATGGTAGAATAGCTGGTTTACTTTAGGGCAACATCTGAAGTTGCGAAACATTCAATCACAATTCTTTTAGGGTGTCTGTTTAGCCTAAGATTTGAATTGAGATTATTAGGATTTTTCTTCTTTGTAATTGCCAGATTGGAAATTTACGGAGGGTGACAGAGGAAAATAATCCTTTATTAAGAACGTAAATTTTTTTCTTTTCTGAGATTTCCTATTTCATAATTCCATTTAATTCCTTGGTCCCTTAATATCTACCAGATCAGTATCCAGAAAGATTACAAAGGACGAAGATTTAATTTAACTTGAAATTGAGAATTAAAGCATGAGTTTCATTTATCTTCATGACCTCTCTGTAATTACCTTATTGGAAAGGAGGTGAAGAATAAAAAAGATTATTTGAGATTTAAATATTCAAAGATTTTAAAGCTGAGCCATGTGGGGGGCAGCGAGAAAAAGTTCTACGTCTGAGGGGGAGGGGGACAGACTGAGTAGTATTTTAAATTTGCTAGAAGCCACAACATTTAACAGATTTAATAATTTTAATGCTGATAGATGTGCGTTAACTCCTCAGATTAATATTACGGGATTTATTGATGATAATTTTGAAAGTAGTCAGGGAGCCTTGAATCAAGGATTCGCACTTGATTCAGAAGGGCTATTTTGAACCAGACTGTTAATATTAAAACATAATAAAAAATCAAGAAATTTTGGAAAAGAGTATTACTGCAGATTTTCCTGATAAATTATCCCTAAATTTTGAATATTTTGAAAACGGCGGAAATAAAAAAAAATACACATTTTTTATTATTTTTATAAGAAAAACTGAATGCAGAACAATATTTTTAAAACTGTTGATAATGCAAGTCATTATTATTAAGAAAAAGTGGATAAATATTTTTTTTTATTAAAAAAATTACAAATCAATGTCAAAATAAGTTAATTTTTAATCAACAATGAATGAATATGTTTTTACAAATTTTTTGTAATTTTTTAAATTTCATTTGTTGAAAAAACATATCTTTTACAAAAAACTTAATAAAAGGAAAAAATATTTTTAGTTTTCAAATAAACATAATTTTTGAATAGTATATTAAAAAAATTAAATTAAGAAACAAATTTTAAAAGATATTGCTGATTTATATTTACAGTGCATGAAAGTACTTTGACTTATGTTAATAACCAAAGCCTTCCCAACCAATTCTACACTGAGACGACTGAGCATAGTTTATCAAGCTCAAATCCTACAAATTCCCAACCAAGAGTAACATTACAACCAGAAAATTTTCCTGATCTAAGTGACGCAAACTCGAGATTTGAAATTTCATTGAAAGAAATAAAAGAAAATTAGCCTGATATTAGTATAATGAAAAATAACATAAATAAATTAGAAAATACTGCTGGAATAAACCAATTATTAAAATTAGAACAGGAATTCCCAGCATTTGAAAAAAGGATTGAAGAAAGATTGAATAATGATGATAATAGTGGAGATGTTTGAATCTATTACAATATTTAATGAAGAAAAAGATAAACTGAAACTGTTTGTAGAACCTCTAAAAAAATTAAGTAATGATGTAGAAAAATTGAAATTAACATCAAACAACTGGGATAGTACAAACAAAGTTTTACTGTAAATGAAGACTCAAAAAACACATCAAATCATAAATAAATTCTTGCTTGTAGATGCAACAAACAAATCGATTGTTGAATGTGAGCACATAAAACTGTTACTAAGCAAACCTAAGGAATCAAAATACATTCCATCTTTTTTAAACAATGTTCAAACAAAATATGTGTTTTTTTCACCAGCTATTCCCAACAAATTTGTAGTTGATTGGGAATATTATGATAATTTAGAAAATGACTACACAATTAATCCAATTCCAATTTGTGACTTCAAGCAGTGTTACTTGTTTGCGAAACAAGGCTTTGGTAACGAAACAAAAATGTTTGAAAAACAACTGTGTCAAGATCATACAAGATGAATACTTTTGTAAAAATAAAAAAATATAAAATGTCCAGTCTATTCTAAATCATGTGAAGTATTTGACACAATTGATTTCCAATCACCAAAAATGGTTGATGATACGCATTTTTCTATTTTCACTACTAAACAAGCAAAAATCATGTCTTTCAATTTACCGTTATATACAAACATATAATTGTCATTTGATGAAGATATGACCTTCAAAATTGACTGAAGTTTTTGCAATAGAATTTGAATAAAATGAAACAATCAGAATGTTTCAACTAAAACTAGAAGACTATATAAAAATACATAAAACTTAAAAAAGATTTTCAAATACATAACAAATTAAAAATTATGTGAACAAGTAAAAGGAAAAAAATCAATAACACTTATAAAAACAATATATTATTCTGTAGATTTAAGAAGTTGTATTTTGCATTGGAGACACATAAAAAATTATATGAAATACATAAAAACTTTAAAACTATTTTAAAATACATAAAAAACTTAAAAATTTAAAAATGTAAAAACAAGAACAAGAAAAAAAATCAATATTGTAACTTTATTTAAAAATGAAAATTAAAAAAAAAACCAGGTGGTAACATTTTTAGACAATAAGGATAGAAATGTAAGGTTTTAATATACTGTATAATGTTACATTCCTGATCTGTCAAATATCTTTTATTTCTAAATTAAAATATACAAATACAAGCTATATATTACAGAAGCTTTATACTAAAAATCATAAGTATGTTGAACCTTGGGTTCATTACAAAGGGGGGGNTTCATTGGACTCAATGAACCAAGGGGGGGGGGCAACTAATCTCTTGCCTGTTTAGGATTTGTGGAACACGTGAACACTCATTTTTCCCCTAAAAAGGGTTGCTTTGGTTCGAAAGGACCTATTCTTTTTTCTAAACGAGAAAAGAATAATAAGCGAAAAATATGAAAATGAAAAGCTAGGGCTGACAGAACAAATATATGCTACGGTTTCTCAATACAGAGCTGAGATTAATAGAGTGGACTTGTGCTCCGGTCTTCCGAAACAGCACTCCTACAGTGGACCCTATAAACAAGCTAGATAAGTTACTTCTATAGATAAATAAAGTATTAAACTTTGAATAGTTATACCTATAGATAACAATAATTGTATAAATTCAAGGATATAAATGTTTTATTAACAAATTAAACAATAATCTATTGAAATTAGTAAAAAAAGGGGGGGGGGAGAGACTAATTGCTTGTATAATCTAGGCATATATCAGTTCTACCATCTATGCTCTACACTCTACAAACATCTTGTATACACCCTACCACACACTCCACAGACCTCTCCAAACATTGTAAACAATAGTCTTTTTCCCACAAACAAATTTGTAAAAATTGGTCTTTACCCACAAATAATTTTTTCACGCAAACACAAATATTTTTTTATTTACAATCTAAAATAATATTGTATGTCGTTGCCATTCAAGAAGTGAACGGTGTTAACATTGAAAAGGGAGGAACAATATTTAGTTGTCTTCTCAATCTCTAATTTTAATTTTACTTTTAAAATGAATTTGCCTGGGGATTATGTCAAGGCATTGTATGAATGGGAGTCAGAAAAGTTTTAAGTTTGTAAATCTGTTGGAGTTCAAGCCTTTCATGTTGAATTACATTAGCAAACAGTTATCGGGTTTTTTTTATAAAATAAATAATTAAAACCATATGTTTGTCCCTGTTTTACAATTGACTTATTAGCTATTATTCAAGTAAATGATAATAACAAGAGAAAGAATAGCAAGATACCTAGCTGAGAAGTGAATCCAAGAAGTTCTCCAACCAAAGATAATTGGGTTTAGTAGAGAGTAGCGATAAGTCAGTCAAGTCTCTACGCTACACGCAAGAATTGAAGACAGTTCCTACAAAGTCCATCAAACAAACTCCTGGAGAATACAACAACAGATAAAAAAAACCAACAACACAAGAAGTCTACTCGCAGCTCTTCTCAACCATCTCAACCAAACCTTGATATAGCTTTCGATGAGTTGGGGTAAAACAAACAATTAGCGAAAATTTTTGTTTGCGAAGTATATTTGAAATGGATGTTTTCTTCTCTAATTAGATTTGCAAGTAAAATCTTGAAATTTTTTGACTTCTAGGAATGTAATCTTTGGCTTTGTTTATTAATATTTTGTACAATAGTTTCAAAGAAGGGGGGGATTTTGTGACAATTTTTTGTCACATATAGATAAACTAAAATGTATGTTTCTCTAAAAAATTGTTTAACACCTTCAAACTTTTACATCCTGATCTCTAGATGTTTAAATTACTGTCTTGGCATAGCAACGAAAAGTACAGTTTGTGTTGTATCATGCATTTCAACATACTCCCAGACCCAGACGTCGAAATCTTTGTAACCTACTTTCTATCTAAAGTTCAACTTGGTAAACTAGGCTGCGCGCCAGACCAATCCTTTACTAGTTTTTTTCTAAAACAGCCAATAGAATCATGAAACCTTTTGTATCAACCAATAACAGACCAATATTTGATGTACGATCGTTTATTTATCCAATGAAACAATGTATGTCAAGGAATTTTTGTATCTATAGTATGTTATCCTTTATATATTTGTGCGCAAGTGCAACCCCTTGTGATTTTTTTAGTATAAAAGCTTTGTAAACTTTGTATATTGTCACTCTATACTCTATTCTCCACCTTTGTGAAATATATTCTGACAGATAAAAGTAAGTCATTTAATATAGTTTTTACTTATAGAGTCTATGGTCAGAAATTGTCCATCTTTGAGAGTTGTAAAAAGGAATGTTACATAGTATTGCAAATCAAATCTCTAGAAACATATCCTGGGAACATTAGCGTAAATCCAGAGTTTTTTAGCTCTCCGCATTGCTTAAGCTTTGCGTGCTATTGTCTTAACAACAGACAGTTTTTGGGAAAAGTTTCAGAGTAACAACATATAAGACATTTTAACCTAAAACATTCATATTTATATCACTCTGGAATTTGGATTTTTTCTGATTATATAAGATATATTAAAGCTTCAATTCTAGTAAAAAATATCACACCCAAAAAGACCAAAATAATTAAAAGAACTTTAAAACCTAGAAATTGTAGCAAGTTATTGCCGTTTCATTTTTGCGATGCATTGCTCATGTCTCAGAGCATCTTTTCCATGCTTTTAAACGTTTCTGCTAGGGTTAGTTTGGTCAGAACAGGCCAAATTATGTCAAAAATATTTTTGTCAAAATCGACAAAAGTTATTTAAAAAAAAAATTTAATTATGCCTTCCGACATCCAAGAAAAACTTTAACCCTATCCCCGCTGGGGTACTTGAAAACCAGGATACGTTGGGGGGGGGGGCAATTTGACCCCCCCCTCTAAATCCCATGTTTGATGTCCAAATATAACAAATGATACATCATTGGAAAGCTCTTGTGCTCTACTTTTAGAATCTGCAAAAAAATTTGCAAATTTGCAAAAATTGAATTTTTTATCGCAAAATCCAGTTATATAGTAAAAATGTTTGCAAAAAAAAATTTGCCCAAAAAATGAAAAATTATACATTTTTGAAAAGCCCTTGACCATGCCATTTCAAATATGCAAAAATGTTTGCAAAATTTTAAATAACCTGATTTTTAATCAAGAAAAACTAAAAATGTGCAAATTTCTTTTGACAGGTTGTTTGCAAAAAATTTGCAATTTTTTTTCGCAAAACTTGTGCAATCCAAAAAGCTAAATTTTATCAAAATCTGACAAGTGAAAGTGGGTCAAAACAAAGATTTAGTTTGTTACAGGAAAAAGCATTCATTCAGGCAGTGTGCCTGAGGACTCAGGCAGTTAGTATTAAAGCCC